GGGGCAAGCTGCCGGACTGGGCTGCCAGCCACGGCGGCCTTGGCATGGGATGACTATCAAGTGCAGCCAGACAGCTCATCTCTCTTGCTCCAAACCACAATGGTGTAGTTCACAGCTGACCCCCAACAGGTTCATCATGACCACTGCCAGCATCACCAACTCCCCCTCCCCTTCCCGTCCTACATAGGGATCTGGGGTCTCCCACCGTATAACTGAATAATGGAATAAAGGATAGGGAGCTGCCGACCTTCTGCTGGCTGGTATAATGAATGACAGTGGCAAATGAGGAAGAAGATTGTGAGGAGGACTCCTGACTTCTTCTGTCTATTTTGTTATATTCAATGCAAGAGATGAGCCACTTCGTGCCCTGAGTCTCAGTTTCCTCATCGGTGAGCCTGTCTGAGCAAAGTAACAATCCTCGCCCTCCCTTGTAAGCCTCCATAGGTCCTCGCGGGGAGGATGCAAAGGCTGAGAGTTGCAGTCGTCAGCAGCAGGAAAGGCTGTGTTGTGGGGTCTCATGTAGGACAGCTCCCTGCAGCGCCTCATTATGCTGCTTGCTGCCTGCGGCCCGACTTGGGGGTTTCGGCAGGAGGAGGAGAGAGATGAGGGCGCTCGATGCTGAAGTCCAGGCCTGGTCGGGCAGTGCTCGGTGATCCCCAGACCTACGGAGTGAATGCAGCGAGTGACTAAGCAGTGTGTCTGTCTCGGGGTTTCGTCCTCCATTTCCACATGCCACAGGGCTGACTTTCCATCCAGACGCGTAGCAGTTGCATCAGGGGGAAGTAAACCAGCATGCAGCCCAAGCTAGCGCTAGCCCTGGGCTGCTGCCAGTCCTGAAACGGGCTGGCTGATTGCTACCCCCTAGCCAGGTGGCTTTAGCCTGGGGGAAGCCTGATGAGGCTGAAGTTTCCATGGTGACAGATCCCCATCCCTGTCTGCCCATTCATTTTGATCAGCCTTGATCTGAGCAGAGCAGCTCTGTGCCCCTGTCTCGTTTGCTCTCCCGCTGCTGCTGCTGCTGCTCCCCAGGCCCATGGCCTGGCAGAGGGTGAAGACCAGCGCGGCCAGCAGCACGCGTAGCAGGATGCAGACCCTGCTCTGCCCCCAGCACATTTGCACTCCTTCATCCTGGTCCTAAGGGCACCGAGTCGGTGGCACTGAGGACGGATGAACACCCTGGGGGCATCGAACAGAAAAGCTGTGACCTCAATGTGATGTCAGAGTCTGATGAGAGCGCGGGGCAAAGACTGGGGAGGACAGCACCTGCCCTTCGGGGCTGAGGAACTGGAGTGGGGGAAAACAGCTGCTTGTCTGGGGGAAGAGACTGGGAGAACATGAGAAGGGATGGTGAAGAAAAAAAGTTGGGGGGAGAAAGGGAGCTGAATGTCTGTGATCGCACAGTGGCTTCCCCCTCCCTCCCTCCGGCTCGCTCTGCTCTGCTACCTGCAGAAGCCATTGCTTTGACCAGACACAGAGAAGTTGGGCTGAAGGGGACCACCAGAGGTCATCCAGTCCAACCGCCTGCCTCAGGCCAGATCCTTCCTAGCCAAACCATCCTATACAAGCGCATTGTCTAATGCGGAGGCAGGCCTGGCGGGGGGCTGAGCGGTGCAGTAACCCAGGTAGGTTCAGTTCTCGAAGGCAGGATCTTGGTGTCACCTAGGCAGGATGCCTGTTGAAGCCTATGGGTGGGCAAGAGACCTAAAGGGTGGTGTTTCACAATGCAAAACACACAGCCAAGAAGAAAATGGGCATCCAGGGTCTCGGAAGGAAGCTTTTGGTGCCTCTGTTTGCCATAAGAAGCTGAAGAAGCCATTCCCTGGCTTCCTGGGAGGGAGGTGTAAGAGTCAAAGGATCAGCCAATTAAGCTTAATTGCATCAGGATGTTGTGATCAGTAGAATTAAGCAGCTGTTCATCAGTCTTGGGGAGAAATGTGTGGGCCCAGCTCCACCTGGTGAAATCTCTTCTACAAACAGTGCGGCTGGTGAACTGGGACATGGAGCTGCCTAGAGGCTTCTCTCTTGGCAGACAAATCCTTGGCTCATCAGTGCAATGGGCTGGTCAAGGAAACAATTGATGGGAGGTTGTTGGCAACCACCGAGGGAATCTGAAGCACCATCCTTCACTCCCCTCCTTTCCCTTCACTCTGTCCCTGACAGATGATGATGAAGCTTGTTTGAAGGTCAACAACTTTATCCTTGTTGTGGGGGGAAATATGGTCTTTGCTGCCTTCTAGCACCTCCCATGCGCGGGGCTCAGAATGAGTCACAAGTGAGTGTCTGCGGTCAGATCTCCAACCGGGGGGTTGATGCAGCCTCCCTATTTCACTAAGGGGAAATACTGTCACTCCCCTCTCCCAGCGGATCAGGGCAGAGGTGGAGGTAAAGCCCAGGTTTTGCAGCTCCTCGGGACCGTTTTCCTTCCTGCTTGGGACTGTTCTTCATCCATGGTTCCTGAAAGCCTCTAAAAAGAGAAGGCTGAAGTAGGATGAGCAGAATATAGAGACTCCCAGGGCCAATCTAACTTGAATCCTTCAATATACCTAAGAAATAGTTGTCTTTTGGATCCCATGGATATGGCCTGAGCCAGTCCTACTGAGGTTTGGAGATTCCCATCTGCTCTCCGCTTCCTTTGGACGCTGAAGCTCAGCCCAAGAGCGTCTGCTTTCCTCTGTCTTCAAAAGGCTCCTGGGGCACAGGTCTCGGTCCAAGGACTCCTGTGTCTGATGGATGTTGGGCAGCTTTAAATGGTACCAGTTGGAGAGAACGTCAGCATAATACCGCCCCTCGACTTGTTCATTGTTAAAGATGGGAAAGGAGACCACTTGCATGGGATGGGACCATGGTGCCCACTCTCTCTGTCCTCTCTGCCTACTCCTGAAATCATCCAAGTTCCTTGGAAACTGGCCGTTCAGCACTAGAGAGGCATGGGGAAGTTATCTTTGGCCTAAAGGTGAAGAGAGGCCGTAGGAGCCACGGAGAGGGTGGTGGTTCTGCCAACTTGGGGTTATTGTACAGTCTAACTTCAGGGTAGAAACCCCTGGCTGCCAAACCGCCAGATATCAAGTCCTCGACCACATTCCTAACCTCCTCCTAAAGACGAGGGCTGCCCATTTGATCAGTTTGGCCACAAAATGTGGAAGAGAAAAGGGTGGTCTTGAAGGTGCAATCCATTAGTAGGCACAAGACAAAGCAACTGTTATCTCTAAAGAAATATTTATATCTACTTCTATTCTTTAAAGGTTTCTTGTTCTCTAATTCAGATGAATTTCATGCGAGCAACTCCAAAACCACTGAGAACGGACAACTGGCAACCCAGTTCTCTGGAAGGACCTTTGTCGTGGTGAGGAGTCATTGAGCCACCCTGCCACCTCTAAGGTATGGTCCTCTTGACAGCGATTCTTAGCACAAATACCATGCCTTTCAGACACGGAGCACTGTGCCCTTAGTAAAGATGGGCATCCTTTGGTCTATTTTTCAGCCAGAAACTGAGGCATTAGCAAGGGGAGAATGACTGGCTGGATCAAGTTGATGAACCAGGTAGAAATATAACTTGGGGCTCAGTTAGGCCATTTGTCAGGACTCTTTTGAGTGCTAACTTTGACATTTGTTTCTCAGCACTCTTTTTGAAACAGGTCTGGATAATGCACATCCATCTCTCTGTGTACAGCCCCAAGTGGACGGTATCTAGAAATGGGCCTGAGCCCAAGCCACAGACTTCAAATGCCCTACATTGTAGGCAGCATTTGTTCAGGGTTTTGTTTTAGCCCATGGAGTATGTGGGGCCTGACTGTAAAATCCAGCTGGAGCTATGAACTCCAGCCGCTCTATCCCCTGAATCAAAGTATTTCCAGATCCTGGGTTTTAGTGTGGGCCTAGCTCTAATTCATATGGTAGATCATACTGATACGAGTGTGTGCAGTAAGGATTTACAAGCGGCACATCAACTGGGAAACAGGGAGCTGAATATTGCCAGTCAACTACCAACCTATATATACGTTAACAGGAGCCCTGGGAAAGAGGGCAACATTGCAAGAGCCTCCTGCAACCTCGGGTGGCTCTCACTGGTAGCTTGCACAGCACCCTGCGGAGAGGCTAACGCAGGGCAAGAAGCCAAAGAAACATCCGACAGAAGACGCCTATCTAGTTACCAAACTACGCCTACGCCACACTACGCCTACTACCACACGCCTATCTAGTTACCAAACTACTCCACTTGACACGCACAATCTGATCTTGGTGGACAGCATGGTTTCCACGATCCTCTCTGCTCACCTCGGCAGCTAGCTGAGAACAATCTCTTTTGCAATTCATTACCCTCGTTTTGGGGCATTTGTTTTTCCATGTATGTGACTCAACCCTGGGGCTCGGTGCAGCTTCACCAGATTACTTTTGTCTGTGCCCATCAAGCAGTTGGTAGAGCCTTCCCCAGCTCAGAGGAGAGAGGGAGACGTGGAAAGCAGAGCTGTAATCCTACTAGCTAAAGCAAGTTAGGCATCAGTGCATATGGGGGTGGGATACGTACTAGCCAGATGAGCGCAGTTCAGCGACGCGTTCCTACCTTTGGTTCCTGCACCAGCCTTGGACTGGGGGGAGCCCACCTGCAGAGGTGCAGCAGCTGAGGAGCTGTTGTATTCTTGCAGAGGTAATACAGGAAAGCCACGTTATGAGATACACCGGGCCAAGGGGAGGCCAGCTAGTGGCCTGGTGATTATGAAAGGGAAGGGTCTGATCTTCCGTGGGCAAAAACTGCCACTATCCCATTGCCTTCAGTGGAGAGACACCAAGACCTGCCTCTCATAACTCTTTAAGTGTCACCCACATTAGGTTTCATATCCATCCACTTCCTTCAGTCACTAGACGGGTTGCCGGGAGATGACCAAGCAGGATCAACCACTGCAAGGGGAGAGATCGCTGGGATCTGCCAGGCCCAGGCCCTCCGACAGCCAGGCGGTTGGCACGGGGGCAAAATAAAAGCTGAGGAGATGGGATTTGCTTCAATCTCCCACTTTTGTTAACAGTCCTCCTTCTCGCTACTGCACAAACTGGGAAATATGTGTATATATTAAAAAAGGCACAGAGTTAATTTCAAGCTCCAGTTGAGTAACATAAGGGGGAAAAAAAATCTCAATCTTTGCCAAATTTCAAAGAACAAACCCAAGAAGGAGAGAGATACGATTTCCCAGCCTCTGTGGGGGGATTATAAACAACGCAGTGCGGGGGGATTTTAAACCACAAGTTCTACAAGGAGGTGATAGACATTGTCCTTTTCAACTGGAAAATGGAAGCCAATTGATATGACTCTCGTGTTAAAGAGAATATGAAAAAAGCTCTGTGCAAATTGGCAAGGGTTTAATTAGAGTCACAATAAAAAACAGCCCTGGAGGCATTTTGCTTTTTAGTCATTCACACACACCTCCACTCGCTTGCATTTACAGAGCCAGGGAAATTATTAATGCTCTTTATCCTAAGAACCTTCCCCCAGTAGCTGTAGTGACACGCATGGCTGGTTTTACATTTTGGGGGTGGGCATGTGGAGAGGCGCCCATATCTCCTCCGTACCTACTTGGTGCTGAAGGAGCTGGGTGGCAAGTAGGTAACTGGGACGCTCCCATCTCTGTTTGAGCCTTTTCAGTACAGACAATGTGTCCTAGGTCTAAGCTATAGTGTGGGGTCTCCTGGAAAATTAGAATGAGCTACCTAGGGGCAACTTGCAGCTTAAAAATAGCATTGTAGACCATACCCTAGGAATCCCACTGGACTGTTTTAGTGTTAGGAGGCCCACAGAAAGCAGGTACATCAGCAGAGTAGCTGGTGTCCATGGACCCAAAGCCTACGTTTTGGGCTCCTTCCGTGGGAGCAGTTGACCAGCAAATTGTTTTTCCCGGAGCTGAACTGGCACCATTGGAGGTTCAGGCTGGGCCCAGAACCAAAAAATAAAAATTAAGGGGAAAAAATGAAAAGGAAAACAAAACAGAAGATGAGGCTTTTTTTTGCACGCTCCAAACTTGGAGGAAAAATTATTATTGCCTGACAAATGGGAAAGCGTCAAGTTGGAAGGAAAATGATAAGCAATAAAGAGGGCTCGACACAGAGCAGGAGTGTGGAGAGGAAATTCCAAGTGAGATGAACTCCCTTTCCTTGGTGACTCCTGGTCATCTCTCTCCCTGTCTGCACCCGTTCACCCTGCTTCCTTTCCCATGCCCTGCTTGCTCCTTGGCTAGAATCGGATGACAGGCATAAGAAGTTTGCATAGCGTGTGCAGTAGAAATACTAGGGCAGCGCAGGCTGATCTAGAGCTGCGTTTCTCAACCCGTGGGTCACGACCCAAAAGTGGGTCACAAGAAGATATGAAAGGATCATGAACAAACTTTAAAAATAGATTCTCCTTTTAAGGGAGAAAAACATGGGAAACCATGGCTTTTCCCTTGCAGGCTGGAGCTCCGCCAGCCTGCAAGGGGCCGCTTAGGGTGCCCCCTGCTACGCACACTGCAGGGCGGGGGGACAGCAGGTTGGGAGTGAGGGGCATCGAGTCGGGACTGGCCATCAATGTTGACAAATGGGTCCTGGTACAAAAAAGGTTGAGAACCGCTGCTCTAGAGCTCGTGCAGAGGGTGGCCCTATGCCCAAGACCCTGAGTGCCAGCCTCAGCATTAGCAGAAGCCAGAGCATGGGGAGCTCATGCGGTGGCTGCAGCGGCCAGGGTCTCTGGCCACCGGTCTGGCAGGACTCCACAGCAGCACTGTCAAGAGCTCTTCTCTTTGCTGCGGAAAGGGAGAGGAGGCCACTCCACAGCGTCTGTGCCCAAGGTGCCAGTACTGCTAGGCTAAACGTGTGACCGCGGAGAACGCTACAGATGGCGAACAACACCAGATCTGTGCCACCTAAGACTAACACCACGTCTAATCCACACTTCTAGTCTACATGCCACAATGAGATCCTTCTGAGTGCTGCCACCTAGTATGCAGAAGCACATGTGAGAAGGAAAAATAATTCAGACCGGCTTCTAAATACCTGGTTTTTTGGGTCTCTCCTGGATAGGCACAGAGGCAGGGAGGGCAGCAGGCTGCCTGGCAGTGACTGCATAGGATGGGAAGCAAAAATACAAAGGGTGAAAGAACCGAATGCATGTTATGAAAAGAAACAGCACGGTGACAGGCTGCGGGGAGGAGGTAGCAGAGGGGGCAGCTGTAACAGCGCTTGCAGGCGGGTCTTGCAACCTGAGCTGCGATAGTCCAGCCTCGATTGTGGAACAAGCCCAGATTGGAAGAGAGCAGCAGGGGGGAAATGCTCCACTGTGGGCTTCTAGCTCAAAGTGTGCATCCCACAAACAGAAGCATTTTGCATTTCACCCGCCACTGTACCTGAGCCCCAAGCAGCTGAGGTATTTGCAGTGTTTCTTGGATACCTAGAAAAACCTCTTAAAGCAGCTCCCCTAGGCTGAGCTGGCATTCTAGCCACTACTCATTCGGTGAAACAGGATGGTGTTTCATTACCCCAAAGGAGAGATCCTCCTCCTATTTTTTTTCCGCTGGACTAAAGAGAAGAGAGGAGAGCCCCTCTCGTGTGGTAGTTGGGTCCTGTCCAGTCCCTGGTCAGCAGGACAGCCAGGTGAAAGGAAGCACTGACAATTGCAAACTCTGGACCCGATTCTCTTCTCTCACCTATGAAGTTCCTGGTACGTTCATTTTAAGCCATCAGTGCAATCAGAATGAGGCCTATACCCCTGACCTGCCCCCTTCCTGAATGATATGACTATTTGCAATAATGAAGTGTGCGCACACCTGTGCAGACCCCACTCGAGAGAGACTCTGGTCGGGATCTTCAGCCACAGAAGGCCAACTCCTTGGGTTGAAGCAAGTGGAGTGATGCCTTGAGCTAAGTAACAGTCTTCATTTTCCCCCCTCATTTGGGCACCTATACGCAGGCAGCGAGGCTGCTCCGACCTGCTGTAATTACAGCACGGCACAGCAGGCTCGATTAACCGAGTCTGCTGGAGCGTGGTAATTACCGTGCTCCAGCAGACTCCGGCGTCTCATGTAGCAGCATCCCTGCACTAAAAAAATGGTGGTGGGGACACTTTAATTAAAGCTCGTTTGACAAGCGTTAGTGCCCCCACCACCATTTTTCAGTGCAGGGACACTAATACATGAGAGGCTTAGGGCGCTTTAATTAGAGCAGCTCTAATTAAAGCACCCCCACTCCCAGAGCACGTGTATAAATGCCCATTGGGGCCAACCAGGAAAGGAAGATGCAGTAAGATGCACTGAGTTGATGAAGCCACAAAGCCCAGCCCTGCCTTTTCAAACTAGAAATGTGGCACGCTGCCCCCAGGTAACTCAATGCAAGAAGCTGGGTTTGCAGTAAGCGGGGCGGTTGTCACCTGCTCTTTCTGATAACCCGTCAGCAGCAGGGCAACTGGATGGAAAGCCCATACACAGTGCTGTGAATCGCAGATTAAATCCTCTTCCCAGCAGAGCCCCCTCCCAGATGTTGTTCCTCAAACTAGTGATGGGAGACATCCCAAGACCTTTGGTACCACCCTGGCCCAGGGTCTACAAAACATGCGAGACCCGGAGCTTTTTGGCTGATGCTTCGGCTGTTCCCTTCCCAAATTCAGCTAGAAACTATGAGCGCGTGGGCTGCCCGGGGAACGAGAGACACCGAATCAATAAACATGCTGCATTCCCAGACCTCGAGGGATTGGCTGCTTCCTAGAAAATTATAAAGGCTTAGTGTTGATTGGGAGAGAGCTTGTATTTTTCTCTCCGACCCATTCACCCATATCAACTATAAAGAAAAAAAAGGCAACCTTCTCACCCGACCCCAACCACACTGCCGAGGCAGGACAGAAAAGCATTAATTGTACCACAAGAGACAGATGCTCAGTAGGTTCAGAGGCAGGAGCTTGCAAGAAAACTACTACAGGCCAACACAGATGAAAACCACGTGACACTGAGTGTCATGTACGTGGAGCACAAGCTGAATTATTACAGGCGCGGAGATGATGTACCCCACTCGTGTGACCATAAACACTGATCTGTAACCTTGTGTGACCGTAACACCGATCTGTAACCTTAATGGAGAGGGTAAGTACTGTTTCCACTTTAAGCACAGGGACATTGGATTGGCTAGACCAAGACTGCACCGTAACGCAGGACAAGTGGGAAATGGGACCCAGGTTGCATTGCTGCAGCCAGACCCCCTGCTTTAAACAGCAGAGGATGGTGCCACCGCGATTATATCTGTATTTGCATAAACACACAATCAAGCTTCCCCATCCCCTTGACTGGCTGCTGGCAGCACCCCCAGGCTGACTCTTACTAACATACTGTGGATATAAAATGTTCCCCTG